TGGTGGTTTCCCCAACATCGGACTGTCTGCTGTTAATTTTCTGACCTCCTGTCATCTAAGCCTGAGCGTGGTGGTGTAACGGAGTTACTAGCTTCTTGGAATTAAGATGTCACAAACAGCAGTTTAATGTTTTAAATTTGGTAAAGTTTATTCTTTAAATGGACTGACAATTTTGTCTCTAGGCATAGACAAAATTGGCAATAGGACACCCTGTGACAACAAATCTGCTTATTTGATTTTTCTAAACCAGGCTGATTGTTTACTGCTTGAAGGGGAAATTCAAATAGTAACTGCTCAGCAGTGGTAATTTGTGACCAAGGAATGATCTGATATGCAGGGCAAGAAGACCCACCTGCAGAAGGGGTTAAATTGTCTGGAAGCAGGGATGCCAGAGACAGAGCATATCCCTTTAAGGGGTCAAGTTTCCCTTGGTGATGAGAAAAGAAACAGCCAGCATTAACCTGCCTTGTAGCCATCCTGGAATGTGAGCACTCAGGGGCCACCGTAGGGCAGCAGAGCTGGGCTGAGGTTTGGACTAAAGGCTGGGCTGAGGTGCCCCATGCCAATGTTCACAGGATTGGTGCTGGTGCAAGCGTCTATAAGGATTCTGCTCACGATGTGTCTTTGCAGACTCCTTGTAGAACCACTTATGGTGGTAGGACTCTGTCCAATGCATTGTTCATTTTCTTTAGATATATTTAAGCACAAACGTGTTTAATTCACCTCAACGAGTACAATAAAAATTCCCCAACATGCTGATGTCACTGATGTCATGGAAAGGTAACATTATTTGTGTCTGTCCCTCTCCCTATCCCCTAGTGGCAGTGGGAACAGCAAGTCCAACTCTTCTATCATGCTACATTGTCCCACTTCCATACCTTCCTACTACCTTGCTACAGCATCTTAAGGGCAGCAATATTCAAATTACATAATATGAAAGAGCTGAAAATAGTGAAAAAGCTCCCTGGTAACTTATGAGCAGCTTCTGAAGCTGTAGGATACACAGTACAGGGCTTTTGGGAACCAGTAGCTAGAGTAGGACCTGACTGGGTAGAACCAGAAATAGTGTAATTTTTTTGCCTAGCAATTTTCTATGCATAGCAATCAACCGAGAGTATTTGGGCTTACCTGTCACTTTCCTAAGAATAAATTAATAGTACAGTAGGTATTAAGGATAACAAAATTACCTTATGTCTGTGTGGTAGAAAATAAGTAATTATGCCATACTTCCAAGCAGAAATATGAGGTCTCCAAAAGCAATGAACACTAAATATTTTTGGAAGATACACACATGTATTTGTGACAAGAATAGCTCCAGAGTAGGACAAGTCGAAAAATAATGTACCATAAGAGCTTGAACCTTGTCCTCATTTTTCACATATTGATGGCAAAGCAGTTCCAAATTTAAAATGGGTCTCAAGAGATGTACATGTTCTGGAGTGCAACTTAAACAGTCTGCCTTACATCAAAGAAATTGAAATATTGTTAGCACACAGAAACCATCTTTCCAAGGTATAATAATCTATTCTGCATGTCAGCCTGGTGCCCACAATGAATGCAGATTGTCCCATTTATCACTTGTATTATTTAGGGTCTTGGAATCAAATGAAAGTAGGTACACTACTCCTTCCTTGGTTTCTCAGTTAAGTTATGGAAAAATTATATTTTATTTAAAAAACCCCCACCAGATAGTTGGTTCCTGGAAGGGACTTTATTAACGTCTTGAAGAAAAAAATACTAGAAATTAAACATGTATATGTTTTATTAGAAATGATCATCCATTTTTATCACACAGGAGCAATTGGTCATTTTCACCAGTGCAGCCAAGTTGTTCTTGCCCTAGGACTAAGAGAAGGCAATGACAAAGTAAAGATGCTTTTAGCACTAAGCGGTACACAGTTGCCAATAAACTTGTCTGACCTTCTAAAAGCTTAACAAATTTGCATCATGAGCACATTGGATCAATCAAGCAGTATGAAGGCCTGAAAGCAGAAGACATCTGACTGTACCTCATTCACAAGAAAAAATCTCACAAGTCTGTTCAACTACATTCTGTCTGCTTTGAGCTGTTGAATACACCAGACATAGTCAAACCTGAAGTAACATTATATCCCAAACTGATAACACATGCTTTTTACTTTGTGGAACTATTGTAATGTGGTCACAAGTATTGCAACTCTAAAAGACACATACTATTTCCAACTCTTAAAATGACTATAGAATATTTTTAGATGGGGAGGAAGAGAAATGAAATTGTAATGATATCAGAAATTAAAAAGTAATGCACATATATAAAAGCTGGTTAGAATTTAGATAATAAATTTAGATTTGGATGAAAATTGGTAATTACATTTATTTATATGCAACGTAGACTTTCATCTTCCAATCTGTCAGCTGAATAACTATCTTTGGTATGTCCACTAATCTGAAATTCAAATAAATCAGGAATTTGACAGGTTAATATTTGGATAAGACAAAGTAAGCAAACAGATAATTTTAAAATGTAGTACAACTTTAGAGGAAACAGTCATCTGATGTCTTGGACCCTTTTTTTTAATAAACTGAGGTTCAGACAACCTTAATATAAATATTTGTTCCAGATTTTTAACACTGTTTTATCAAGAATGATGGCATAATCCCATATATATCAAAATAAAAATATACAGTATGCAAATGGATACTAGAAAACAGGAAAAAAAAATCTGAACACTTCAGAAATTATCAGAAGCACCTATTGCAGACAAGTCAGACTGAATTTTTAATTGTCCTAATCCTTCAAAAGACAATATGACCTTTTTAACATTAATCATATAATGATAAATAATGTCTGTTTTCTGTGGTGCATGAAGGAATGAATATGCCAGCCATTTGAGAAACTCTGAAATGTTAAATTGGACATGAATTCAGTCATTTCTGGAGATATATGTGTGGATTTTTTAATCAAATAGGGTGGGTGTCGTAGTTTAACCTCAGTCGGCAACTGAGCACCACGCAGCTGCTCGCTCACTCCCCCCACAGTGGGATGGGGGAGAGAATCGGAAGGGTAAAAGTGAGAAAACTCACGGGTTGAGATAAAGACAGCTTAATAGGTAAAGCAAAAGCTGCACACGCAAGCAAAGCAAAACAAGGAATTCATTCACTACTTCCCATGGGCAGGCAGGTGTTCAGCCATCTCCAGGAAAGCAGGGCTCCCTCACGCATAATGGTTACTTGGGAAGACAAATGCCACCACTCCAAACATCCCCCCCTTCCTTCTTCTTCCCCCAGCTTTATATGCTGAGCATGATGTCACATGGTATGGAATATCCCTTTGGCCAGTTTGAGTCAGCTGTCCTGGCTGTGCCCCCTCCCAGCTTCTTGTGCACCTCCAGCCTTCTCAGTCGGTAGAGCATGGGAAGCTGGAAAGTCCTTGACTAGTGTAAGCACTACTTAGCAACAACTAAAACATTGGTGTGTTATCAACATTGTTCTCACCCTAAATCAAAAGCACAGCACTGTACCAGCTACTAGGAAGGAAATTAACTCTATCCCTGCCAAAACCAGGACAGTGGGTTTCTACTAAACTTGTGATTGAATTTTACAATAAATAGTGAAATAGTCAGCCTAAGTAAATTTCTGTATTCCTTACACAGGCACTGGAGACAGATAAGTTAGGACAGTTGAGTTTCCTCTGGAAGCCTTTATAAGCATCAGTCTTATCCATTGAATATAGACAGCCTGAACTACATTGGATGATTCAGGTGCTTCTAGACATGCATCAAAAACAGTTGTGCATTTATAGTTAGTTAGGAGGATGAGTTAAAATTTACATTGCACTTGAAATTCAAAAGGTCATTGTATAGTTGGCTTTACTACACATGCTTTCTCTGGTGATTTTTGTCTTTTCAGAGAGAAGCACAAACTCCCTGTTTCTGACTGCAATATTTATTAAGATACCTTAGATGCAGTTGAAATAGTTTCACAATTTGCAATAATCTACCAAAATATTTTTCCTCTGTTTTTAATAATTGGATACATTTTTTTATACAGCTGACCTCTTCTTTTAAAGATTTTATTCTCTGTGTCAAAACATTCAAACTAACATTTTTCATTCTGGATATATGCCTGAAAAATTATTAAACTTTCATGTTAAGTAACTCAGTTGCTGCTTCTTCTGAGGAAAATGGATAATTTGGGTAGTTTTAGAAAGCTTTGGGTTTTTTTGTGTTTGAATAGCTGCAGCATATCTATAGCTGGGATAGAAATTTAGAAGGCATTGATCTGAAATACAGAATCATAGAATCATAGAATAGTTTGGGTTGGAAGGGACCTCTAAAGGTCACCTAGACCAAACCCCCTGCAATGAGCAGGGACATCTTCAACTAGATCAGGTTGCTCAGAGCCCCGTCCAACCTGAGCCTGAATGTTTCCAGGGATGGGGCATCTACCACCTCTCTGGGCAACCTGTTCCAGTGTTTCACCACCCTCAGCGTAAAAAATATCTCCCTTATATCTAGTGTAAAACTACCTCTTTTAGTTTAAAATCATTACCCCTTGTCCTATTGCAACAGGCCTTGCTAAAATGTTTGTCCCCATCTTTCTTATAAGCCCCCTTTAAAGACTGATAGGCTGCAATAAAGTTTCCCTGAAGCCTTCTCCTCTCCAGGCTGAATAACCCCAATTCTGTCAGCCTGTCCTCATACGGGAGTTGTTTCATCCCTCTGATCATTTTGTGACGGTGTGCACCCCCCTCCTCTGCGTAAACAATGACCACCAGTGGGGGTTGTGTTGGCTGCATCCAGCTTATGCTGGTCTTCGGGAATGGATGGCAACATAGTAGCCAAGGGCTGCCTGGAGCAGTGAGTCAAACGACTTGCTGGTATGCAAATATGACTATAAGTCAATCATCTTACTCTATAAATAGTGGACAGCCCAGGGCCCAATGAGCTCTCCTGCACAGCAGCGGGCTGCACGCCAGGATCTCCCCTTGAGCAGGGACGCCTCTCAAGGTTACTCTTCGAGGTTGAGAGATTCCTTGCTGCAACAGATACTCAGTAAGTGACTAATAGCATGCTAAACTTTGAAATCTTATTTAAGTGATATAAAGGATTAATTGCGCATATATAATCCTTTAGACATAAACCATTGGCCAAGTCTGGGACTAGGAATGGATCCAGCCGCACCTAGACTCCTCCCTGAGAAGGAGTGTAGAAAGCAAGGGGGTCCTTTCTGAACCTCACGGCTCAACGGGAGGGTCTCCCTGACAGTGTTGTCTGACCCTGTCCTCTATGCAGTAAGGAATGAAGTGTACCTTGCCACTGAATCTTGTTAAACCAGTCGCATTTACCATTGAACTTTGTTAACTCACGCTTTAACTCACTGTTTTCTATCAATGAAGTGTATTGTTGCTTCTCTCCCTTACGAGTGAAGTGCAGTCTCACTTAATCCGTGACAGTCTGTTATAGAAGAACTTAATTAAACAGGAAAGTCATGAAAGACGTCAGAGAACTATGGCAAGCAAGAGCAGAACAATCCTGAAGATAGCCTAGGCTGCACAGTGTATTGAAAGTGGGTGACGAGTGGCCCAGATAAGCCACCCGAGAAGCAAGGCCCCCCAGGGTACCTTCCCAAGGAGGCCCAGACTCCTGCAGCCCCAGGATGGGGCACTGTGCACGTCCTGACCTACTACTGCAGCTCAGCGTGGGAGTAGGCGAGCTGAGACGTTACAACACAGGGCTGCTCAAGAGCACAGACCGACAGAAGTAACACGGAGTTTATTTTTACTTGTCTGTGAGTTTTGAGGTCAGCCACAAACTATTTCATTTAAGTTGTTGGTATAATCTCAGTAATCACAGGCTTTTCATATATCCTTGTTTACTGTATTCTGGTTATTTACCATGTTAATTGAGGTTGTGGGCATGAAAATCAGCTTAATATAAGGGTTTTTTGTTGCCAATTAACACATTCCCATTTGTAGAGTTAGATAATCACTAGCTGCTATCCTCCTGGCTGTAATTCACATGTTAGTTTGCATAATTACCTCCCATTCACTTCTCATAAGTGTGCCCTCACCGATGGGCCTGACTCGCAGGGTAAGGCGAATCCTCCTGTCCCAGCCTCCTCGCCAGGCCTGCTGCGCAAAGCAAAGCAAAGCGGGTCTCACGGTATTTTTAATTACGCACCACGGCACGATACTCATGATGTTAAATGGCTCGAATCATCTGGCAGAAGCATGGTGTTTCTCAGCATCACGTTGTATTGTCGTAATTTCTAAAGGAAACACGATTTTTCCTCGGTCCCCAGGACACTGGCTGAAGTGGAAGTTGCTGCGTTCAGCCCAGCTCCAGGTAGCTATAGGTCTGGGGGGACAAATGTGATTCAGAACATGAGGCTACACTTCAGGTCTCTAACTGCAGAGCAGAGAGAAGGCAGTGCCAACCAAATCCACCCCAACCTGCGCTCCAGGCTGCTCACGGAGTCTCCCGTCATCTCGTCACGTTCCCAGGATGGAAGTCCGCTCAGTAAGTTGGCCGGACTTACGCAGGCTCGCATCTAAAACCAAACAGATGTTTTCATAGCTCCAGCTTTAGGGGCTGCCCTAAAACACTGCTTAACCAGAAGCCCAGTTAGACAGCTGCCCTGCACACACACACCCTCTTGCACACCTGCAGCCAAACTGAAAGATTTCAGAGCATGAACTTGGCCGTAACCCCACAGCGAGAACCCCTGGGAGCACAATCTGTTCCTCCACACAAGAACTCTGCGCTTTATACCTTCACCACTGAGTTAACTTTGGCTCTGCAAATAAACTGAGCTGTCTTTTGACTGCTGAAATAAATTGTTACCAAAGAAGAAGTGCTTTGGTAGTACGTGTTGACCAGGACGCTGGCCAGGAGCACTGCTGCTCCTAGCCACCTTGCTATGCCCAGTTCTTCCTGCGGATTTCCTGCACACTCTCCTCTCCCTCTGCAGAACGAAGGCATCCATTCATCTCTGTCTCACTTTCCTTTGGAGAGTGAGCACATACTTACTGGTTTCAGAATTCAAGTGATGCCAGGATTCTTGCAAAATTCTTCCACAAACAAATAGTGCTCTGAAGGCATTTTGAAGGTCTTTGGAATAAAGGCACATTTTGTTGCCTCAAGCTTTCCTGCTTCTAACTGCTTCTGAAACCTCTTCAGGTTCTTCACTAAGCAGTTCTTCTGAATCAACTGAGTAGAAAAAGAAATATAAGGTTCAGCTCAACAAATGCTCCCACAGTCTGACTCGCTTTAATTGCCCTTGAGAAGTTTCTGGTGGCATCTGGGGATCAACTGCACCACATACTCTGAAGAGAAAAATAAACAAACATGGATACCATTGAGTGCTGCTTTGTCTTTGTGGAGGAGAAGGCTCGATTTTGATTTTCTGTACCTCCGCGTGAACAGGGGAAGCCAGAACAGAGCAGGCCTCACGATCTGTGTTCTACCATTTCTAACGTAGCCTTCCTCTGCAGTCAGCACGCTCCTCTCCAGAACAGGCAGCGCTGACCAGCACTGCAGGTCCAGCATAGCACCTCTCCTCGTTGGCTCCTCTACCACTTGGAGAAGGAAATTATCATCAACGCATTCCAGGAACCTCCCGGATTGCTTGTGCCCTGCCGTGTTGTCCCTCCAACAGATGTTGGGGTGGTTGAAGTCCCCCATGGGGACCAGGGCTTGTGAGCGTGAGGCTGCTCCTATCTGTCTATAGAGGGCCTCATGCACTCTGTCTTCCTGGTCAGGTGGCCTGTAGCAGACCCCCACCATAATGTCACCTGTCCCTGCCTTCCCTTTAATCCTGATCCATAAGCTCACAGTCAGCTCCTCATCCATGCCCAGGCAGAGCTCCATGCACTCCAGCTGGTCATTGAGATAGAGGGCAACACCCCTCCTCGTCTCCCCTGCTGGTTCTTTCTAAAGAGCTTGTAGTGTCTTTATATATGTTTTTTGAGGTCTTCCTGAAAACCTGCCATCATCTGACAGGACTCACAAGCTTTTAAAAATCTAATTTTTTTCCTCAGCAGAATATTTCGGGGTTTTGCTGCAGTTTCTAAACATTTCTCAGAACTTTTCTGTTCCACAAAGCTCTATAAATGCCATTCCCTATTCCAGCATCACACAGCTCCTTCAAACATGCCAGTCTCACTAAGAATGTACCAACACATAGAGACAGTGACCAGATATTGGAGCTGGACACTGAGCTAAAGGCAACTGCGGGAGTTTCTGCAACCCCACCACAGTCAAAAATGAAAAGGTTATAACAGGGGACATGACCTGGTTGTGGCTTCTTGTCTCACCTCTTTCACTAGATACTAGAAAACATGTACATGTCTCTCCTATCTAGGTGTACTCCTAACAAAACAATGTCCCCGTGACCTTAGCTTGAAGTATATGATTTTTTTCTTCTTACAGAGAGAAGCAGAGACTTCTCAGGAGATGCAGGTTGGCTGGCTGATGGAAGGAGGTGAGCAAAGGTGCAGTTAAGGCACTTTACCTTTTCAAAAAAATGGGTTTTTCTCTGCTTGTTATACTTGATCAATTGAAAAGGCTGTTTTAATCTATAGTATATACCTCTGAAGTATTTGTATGTAAAGGATTCCTCAGACACATGCACAGACAATCTGTGTATGCACAGTAGTTTAGATAAAGCCAAGAAATGGTTGTTATAATTGTTATAATTGAAATCTTAAGAGTCTAATAATTATTAGTTCATAACAAATTCTTACAGAAAAAGAAAGAATAATAACGTGGTTCAAATTGTTACATAGACACTTAGTTTCTACCCCTTTCCTGGTATTATGCTCACCCTTGCCCTTCTGTGGTTTCTAAGATTAGTGGTTTCATTCTGATCATGGTGGTGATGGGGTGTTACAGTGAGTTGTCAACTCCTGGAGACTTTCATCACCAAGAGGAATATGATGTGCATGTTGATGGTTTCTTCTTCCTCACTCTAGGATCCACTTGAGGTCATTTTTCTGTATATTCGCTAACACACTTTTACACCTTTGCCTTTTCTTCATTGATCTGCAGTTCCACATTGCATCCAAATTTTCTATATAAATTGGCTTTTACCTATGTTGGATACTACTTCATTGTTCTCCTTGATCCTCTTAAAATCAGTTTTTTCATGTATTCAGTCTGGCTTCATATGAATATGATTTGATATAAACAAATAAATGTGCATCCAATTTAGTATTATCCACCTGTGCAATCAGATAATAAATCTCAGTTTCATTTCTGCTATTCATATTCCAAGTTACTTATAGCCATTTTGGGAGAAGCATCCACGTTTGCTAGCATGGCTTATACTGTTGTCCTGATTTCAGCTGGGATAGAGTTAATTTTCTTCCTAGTAGCTCGTACAGTGCTGTATTTTGGATTTAGGATGAGAACAATGTTGATAACACAGCGACATTTTAGTTGTTGCTAAGTAGTGCTTACACTAGTCAAGGACTTTTCAGCTTCTCATGCTCTGTCGGCAAGAAGCTGGGAGGGGGCACAGCCAGGACAGCTGACCCAAACTGGCCAAAGGGATATTCCATACCATATGACATCATGCTCAGTATATAAACTGGGGGCAGTTAGCCAGAGGGCAGTGATTGCTGCTCGGGAACTGGCTGGGCATTGGTCGGTGGTAAGCAATTCCATTGTGCATCACTTATCTTTTATATTCTTTTCTCATTATTATAATCATTATTATTATTATTATTATCATCATCATTATTTTCCCTTCCTTTCTGCCCTATTAAACTGTCTTTATCTTAACCCACGAGTTTTACTTTTTTTCCCCAATTCTCTTCCCCATCCCACTGGGGTGGGGGGAGTGAGCACACGGCTGTGTTGTATTTAGCTGCCTGATGGATTAAACCACAACAACTGTGTATTAGCATCATAGTGTCTGCTTGCTTTTGGCTCACTAGCTGAGGAAATCTGTTTAAATTTTATTGTCAATATTTGAGCACCTGTAGTGATACTTTTTATGATAACCACATATTTTAAGCCTAATACCACTAACGTTGAGTTATGCTCAGCTGAATAAGGACATAAGGTTGATATAAAATGGCTATGTCAGGGATCTACTGACCCTCTTGCACCCTTTCATTAGATGAAAATGCAGCACTGTTTCATTAACAAGAAAAACATCTACAGTTTTCTCCTCTCCCCTGTGTTCTTTCATGCCCACAAAGTTTTTTTTTTTTTATATTTCAATTCTATTTAAAGTCTTAATTACTTTGCAGATTATTTTAAACTCTTTTGTTTAAAATCAAATGTTTCCCCCTCCAAATAAATTTTTTTAACAATTTCTGTTGAAATTTCAAAAATTACTAAGTCCAATTTATGTTAGAACATGACTATTAGTTATGGCCATTTTTTTTAGTGACACATTTTTACATGCTTTTTTACTTATGGGAAAGAATGTTGTGGTTTTTTAACAGATTTTTTGAAAAAAAATATCTTGGAAATATAAGCATGAAGTCTTTCTCTCTTTTTTAATCACTTACTTCCAGAAGCTGGGCCATTTGGGGGAAAAAAACCCAGAAAATTCAAAATATCTGAAAAAAAGACAATTCTATACTGGGAGCTGGCAACATTGCAAGCAAGCACGCTCTGGGCAGACAATTAAGATGGGTCAGAATGAAAAAAAATGTAACGTTTGAATTGCCCTTTTTCTCAGTTCTCCATCTGCTCCCTGACGGTGGGAAAGTCAAATTTGGAAGTGGCTCCACCTGTACAGCTGCTTGCAGAAGAGCTCCTCCTAGCAGTACTGGATACAAAACTCAGCCAACACAGGTTAGCGTCTGAAAGGCTGCAAGTATTCACTCTCATTTAAACAAAATAAAACTCTTGTTTATTTCTGCTTTGTTGGTTTTTTTTTGTTGTTGTTGTTTGGCTATTTTTTTAATTAATATTTGCTTCTGCATCTCTGTGAATTCCCATAAAAAAGTAATAAATGATGATAAACACTACATTAAATATTCATTTCAATGTGTGTACTAGGTTCTTTCCAAATATTCAGGAGGGGAATACTCATATTCCAAGAAAATCACTATCTAGGGATAAATAGAAGTAAAGATGTTGTGGAAAAAAAAAAAAAAAAAAAAAAAGGGAAAAGGACATCCCCCGGGGGGGGGGAAGAATAGAAAAAGAAAATAATAGCTGAAGGTACAGAGCAATTTAAAGTATTACAGCAAATCAGTAATGTGTTGGAAAACCTCATGCATTATTATAGGGAAAAATGAAATAACAACAGTGAACTCCATATATTTTCCGTGTGAAAATTCAAGCTTTTTGTTTTTTAAATATTACATTGTACATCTCCCTTTTACATTAGCTATTAAAACCCTGGATGCAAAAAGACTGGTATCAGCACATAGCCTGGGTTCACAGAGAATTAAAGATTGAAGCATAGCCCATAGATTGAGGAAAGTGATTACCCCCCAATATTCAGCACTTATTAGACCACATCTAGAATACTGTATCTAGTTTTGGGCTCCCAATGTAGAAAAAACATGAAGAAACTGGAGTGAGCTCGCTGAAGGGCCACCAAGCTGGCTGGGGCTGGAGCACCTGCCTTGTGAGCAGAGGCTGATGGGCTTGATCAGCCTGCAGAAGAGACAGCTTTGAAGGGATGGAGGACTGGTTTGGGATGGGAACTGATAAAAACAGTGCATGGTGGGTGGATGAGCAATGAGCACAAACTGAATTTTTACCCCACCGTTGGAAGTGGCTGCCCAGCAAGGCTGTGTAGTCTCTGTCCCTGGAGGTGTTCCAGACCTGGATAAGCCAACTGGATAAAGCCCTGAGGAACCTGGACGGATCTCACAGCTGACCTTGCTGGACTAGAGAACTCCTGAGGTCCCTTCCAGCCTGAATTATCCTACCTATCCTATCTTTAACTGCTGTATAAGTTAAAAGTAATGTTGTGAATCACTAGCTAGTTTTTTCTTCTTATTCCAATATCACCTTCCAGTTGTTCATTACATAATCAGCACTTTTCCTTTTTAATGTGTATTAACTGGCATGAAGTCAGTGTCATCTTTTCCATGACTGAGATATTCTCTTTTATGCAGCAAGAAATCTCTGTTTTCCAGCAGTCTGCTGCAATGAACAACTAAGAGGCCAAAAGATGTAGTAATAAACCATGATTTCTTTTTCCCCTCTGTTTGCATTAAAATACATAAACAATAGGGCTAAAAGCCACACCATTAGAATAATACATAATGTTTCATCCTCAGTGTATCTCCTCTTCTATGCATGTTAATTTAGACTATCTTCCTTAAATATTTATCCTATTTTGTTTAAAGATGGAATAAGATGTTCAGTTGGTCTGCTGGCAAAT